TAGCTGTTAATCGTAGCGTTAGCTGTTAACCATAGCGTTAGCTGTTAATCGTAACATTAGCTGTTAATCGTAGCGTTAGCTGTTAACCGTAGCGTTAGCTGTTAATCGTAGCGTTAGCTGTCAATCGTAGCGTTAGGCTGTTAACTGTAGCGTTAGCTGTTAATCGTAGCGTTAGCTGTTAACCGTAGCGTTAGCTGTTAATCGTAGCATTAGCTGTTAACCGTAGCGTTAGCTGTTAATCGTAGCGTTAGCTGTTAATCGTAGCGTTAGCTGTTAATCGTAGCATTGGCCGTTAGCTGTACACGTACAAAAACAAAAACAAAAACCATCCATGATGCCTCAGTTATTCTTCAAATTTATAATTTTTTAACGATTTTAAATATATTAACATTTCTGCGGCAGTTCTTTGTGTTAATGAGGGCCGCAAGAGTGGTTACAGCTTTCCCTTGTTTTTAAAGGAACACACATTTACCAACAAAAACTCAAAAATACGAAACTTCCTGATTGTTTCAGCAGCTTTACAAACATTTTCAGAAGCAAACAGACCAAACATTGAATTGTAAGGTTTTCAGAGATTTTAAGATAATAATTCACACAAATCAAGTTTACAGACAGGAAATCAAAGCTCAGATGAGTTTTAGGGTAAATTTATCATCAACAACAAGTTTATTTCTATCAGCTGATTTAAAGCTGCCTAAAGAAATGAAAAATGGACCCAGAAACTTTCAAAATAAAACTTTTCCCGTTCACTCACCTACAGTCAGCAGGCCCATCAAACTCTCCACTGGTCTGGACCAAGTTCTGCTGATCTCTTCTGGCTCGTGGTGGTGCTTAGAGTCTGTCTGGGTTCTGGTCTGGTTTTAGTGGAGATGTGGTCCAGGTCTCTTGGTGTGGGGGTCTCGAAGGTTTGGGGATCGTAGATCAGATTCAGAGATGTGACGTTAGGTTAGCTTTTAGTTCCTGTGGATGGAGCGGTTCCTCCGGTGGACCAGCTGGTCTTGGRCTTTATTTTTAAAAACGAAGGAACCCGTTTGGAGGAGCAGCAGGTCTCAGAGTTTCAGATTATTTTCAGAGAGCTGCCCTGCCCATCCTGTAGAACCAGAGGAAGAGYGAGAGGAAGAGGGGGAGGATGTGGGTGGGAAGTGAAGGAGAGGAAGGCCAGGATATGGAGGAAGGGAGGAGAGCGAGAAGAAAAGGATAAAACGGGTCAGAAGATGGAGAATCGATTTCAATCTGAGCTGAATCAGATGTTGGAGACCATTTTTAGGTTTGGAACTSGTGAATTTGTTCACATGGAAACACCTGCTTCCTTCCTGCTGAGATTTTATTCATTTACTGCATCGAAAACCAACAACAACAACCTGCAGAACAGGCTTTAGCTTCCTTTAGCTTAGATTAGCTTCACTTAGCTTAGATTAGCTTCACTTAGCTTAGATTAGAGTCATTTAGCTTAGATTAGCTTCCATTATCTTAGATTAGCTTCCTTTAGCTTAGATTAGCTTCACTTAGCTTAGATTAGCTTCACTTAGCTTAGATTAGCTTCATTTAGCTTAGATTAGCTTCACTTAGCTTAGATTAGAATCATTTAGCTTAGATTAGAATCATTTAGCTTAGATTAGAATCATTTAGCTTAGATTAGAATCATTTAGCTTAGATTAGCTTCACTTAGCTTAGATTAGCTTCACTTAGCTTAGATTAGAGTCATTTAGCTTAGATTAGCTTCACTTAGCTTAGATTAGAATCATTTAGCTTAGATTAGAATCATTTAGCTTAGATTAGAATCATTTAGCTTAGATTAGAATCA